ATATCTAATCATGCAACGCCTCCATCATCAAGGAGTTCTGTTCAGCCTGAACCTACCATCGAAGAATCGATGGTTCTACTCCTTTTGAAGGTTGATTTTATATCCCATAAGCCTAGTCTGTCCAAGTGCAGGTCTAAGCCAGAACGCCGGAAGTTGCCTAGTCGATACCCGGGGGAGACCAATTTAGGGTAATGCAGTGAATTTAGTTAGATTTTAAAATTAGAATTAAATTAAAGGAAACTGATTTCCTTCAAGGGAACTCGTCTCCAGTGGTCGAAAAAACTGTTGGTCAAAAGTGGCGCTCAATCCTAGAATAGGCTGCATCAGTCGGTACGTTATTTATTTGTCTTAGGGTTGGACACGCCTTTTTATGACGCAATATTGGTTACAACTCTTTTTAAAAATAAGTATGCTACAGCTTCATATTTAAAGAAAACTTAAATTATATTTTAACTGAGTAGAAATGTTAGGTTTATAATGTTCCGCGCGAGATTTTTTAATTATAAATCTACCGCTGTGTGTTGTGTAGTTAAAAAAGGGGTCTACAGGTTGAGAGTCATTTCAAGTCAACTAGTATTAAGGCCACTATAAAGGGTATCTCTAGTAGCTCTCTAACCAGAATTAACCAGTATGTTGTGAGGGCAGTACAAAAAATTTAACATTTGAAACTGAAATCAAATCAAACTGTGAAAATCGACCTTAAGTGCTAGGCACATTATATCGAAGAGATAATACGTGAGCACGAAAATAATTTTTAAAATTTCGCATATCTAGCTTTAGTTAAATTTAGAAATGGTTAAATACAGTACTTTTATCTCAGCATACCTTCAGATGTTCATCTTCGATGTTTCCAAGATTGAGAAAATGTTCAGATAGATCTAAGAAAATTGTTTTCTCATTACACTTTACCCACATGATCAAATTAATTTTGATTCCTTCTTGAGCTGTATTTGTGACTAGAAGACTCTAAAACTCTTTGACTTAAATTTTCATCTTTGAATATAACAAAATAGTTACTTTTTGAGATTTTGAACTGTCCTGCTTACAAGGGAAATAGGATTTTTCGAAATATTAAGGTAATGTTTAAAAATGCAGAAAAATGCATGCGCCTGCTTTTTCTTTTATTTATGAGCTGTTTAGTTGTTTTGTGAGCTGCTTATGTAACGCAAAAGTTTTAAGAAATAATTATATAATTATTTCCCAAAAGTTTCGAAATTCTGAAAAATTTAGAGTGCACTACATAAGTACATGCATTTTTCAAAATAGAGGGTTATATGCCTGTTTAGAATACCTTAAATTTCCTGCTTAGATGGAAGAAGATGAATGATTATTAGATTTATGATAGTTGACCTCGTTTGTTTTGTTTCTAAATGATTATAATTTTGCGAATGAAAAGCTCCAAGATTGTGTTCACTTCTAGTTACAGTCTTCCGTACTTACGAATGGACTTCAAAGGTTCCTTCTGAGGATAAACTGTAATTAAATAATTAAATTAATAAACTCATTACTAATATCTTCCGCATATATGAAAAGGCACAATTAGCACAAGACCTTTAAGCTAGCCAGTCTCATTGATTATATGGCCGTTTTTCTAATTGAATACGCAAATCTGTATTTATCATGATGGAAATGCGCCTGAAACGAATATAAGTTTTTTTGAATAAAACTAAATAATTCTTTTCAGTCGCATCGAGCCTTTGTGGTGTAGTGGTCTGCACGCTCAGTGCGTAATTGAGAGGTCCGCGGTTCGACTCTCGGCGAAGGCTTTGCATATTTTTGGACTTGCATTACCAGGATTTGGACTACTCCTCTGCCATTTGGACATCTAAAGCCGGAAAGCTCGCTTGCATTTAGCATCTATGCTAGCCATTCCATGCCATTACACCAACGACATTGCTTATCGGAGTAACTCTGAGATGATATGCGAAGAGTTATCCATGCTGTACTGAGAATAATATTGTTACGGATTTGGTATTTAAATAGCTAATGTTAGTTGAATTATAAATTAAATTATTTTATTCCCCGTGCAGTGTAGCGCGTGATGAATATTATAGGAAAGCTAAGCCGGAAAATTAATACAAGAGCACGTGCATCTCTTTTTAATTTCGAGAAAGTTTCAGAAAATTCTCGCGCGCGATTTAAAATCTTATAAAAGGAGGAACTTCGTGGTTATTTCAGTTTTCTCCCAAGAACCTACATAGTCCTCATTACAAACATAGTCAATGCTTGTATGAGGCTCTATTACTTTCCGCAACAGTGGAAGCACGCGCAGATAGCACGCACAGTGATAATTACGTTTGTCAAGCCGGGGAAAAACCCAATCGGAGGAAACTTACCCAAAGAACTCCTACTCATGCCGTCCGATCAGCCTTCTCCCCAATTTGGGAAAGGTATTTGAGCGTGTGCTCCAAAAGAGATTAACTCAACATCTAGAGGATAAGAATATTATATGTAAAGAGCAGTTTGGTTTTAGAGCCGGTCATAGTACCGTGCACCAACTACTGAACGTTACAGAATTACAATTTATTCGCAGACTCCTTCGCAAAAAAAGAACACAATCGCCGTGAGCTGTTTTCTAGATCTAGAAAAAGCATTTGACAAGGTGTGGCATTGAGGGTCTCCTCTACAAGCTTGCACCTTGTTCATCTGCCTATCAGAAACAGCTTTTTATTAAACTCAGGAAAAGCTATCTTAAAAACAGGACCTTTCTGGTAAAAATTAATGACTCTCTCTCTTCAAGTAAAAAGAAATAAAAGCGGAGTGGCTCAAGGAAGCGTTCTGGGACCGCTTCTGTTTAATATCTACACGAATGATATGCCGGTTCCTTTGAATGCAAAAGTAGTGAAATATGCCGACGACACGGCAATTTTAACCAAGTCACTAAAACCTTAGCTTGCTGTAGATAAACTTGAAAGCGCAGTAAATATCGTAACACACTATTATGATTCATGGAAATTAAAAGTAAATCCGTCAAAGAGCCATATTCTCCTTTTCAGACTTCATCGGAAGTTCACTCCTGTGAATGTAAATATAAAAACTAATGATCAAGCCCTAGCAAATGTTTCAAGTACCAAGTATCTAGGAGTGGTCTTCGACTCACAGCTGTTATTCAAAGAACACACGGAGTATGCCTTGCGCAAAGCCACCGCTGCTAAAATGTCTCTTTACCCTTTAATAAGAAGAAATGCTAAATTAAATATCAGTCTCAAGAAGAAGATCTATACCAGCTTAATAAGACCCACCCTACTTTATGCAGTGCCTATCTGGGCCACCCCCCCCCCCCCCCCCCCCCCCCCCCCCCCCCCCCCCCCCCCCCCCCACTGTGCACAAGACTTATAGACACAAACTACAGGTCTTTCAGAACAAAATACTCAGACAATTGTTGACTCCCCATGGTTCGTACGTAACCTGCAGATACATAAAGAACTAAAAATAAGACCCATAACTGATCAAATTCTCACCACGAGCCACAACTTCTATGCTAAAATAGAACTTTCTCAATACGAACATAATCCGTGATCTGATAAATTATGATGACCCTATTATAGAAATTGCAGAATAGCGCCCAAGAGGCATCTTCCATAACAGCAAATGGTGAAACGTGTATATATTGTACATAGTACTATTATCTTTATTTTATCTTCATTGTGTCATTTTTACCAGTGTCTTTGAAACTTTATTAACTTTATGGACATGATCCGTGTAACCTGGGATCTTCAAAGCACTTGATCTTATATTTGTCATATTTTATTTATCACTTTCAATCTTCTTATTGTTATATACCAGAGATTTTGTAATATTGTGGACTTATGGACATGATCCGTGCAACCTGGATCTTCAAAGCTCTGATTATTTATTGTTAGTGTAAAATGTTTTTCACCATTTGCTACTTCGCTCAAATACCGCCGTCCCTATATGTACATAGTGTATAGTTTCAGTAACTCATGTGCCTCAGTGTTGTACAAGAACTTTAGAGTTTAATTTCTCAGACCAAGACTTCACTGAATTATGATATCTACTATTTCAAGATGCATTGGCTGTGGACAGTTCACGAGAGGGCGACCTCCACGTGACTACCACTGTCCAATCTGTGTTTTACAACAATGATGAATTTGAATATTTTGTTTAGTTAATCTGTTGCACTTAGTTGTGCCATTTGTCTTCATTTAGATCGCGATATTAGTTTAATTATTCCAATCTGGATAACCTGTTTCAAACCTTGATAATTATTAATATATCCAATATTTCTCATTGCACGCGTAAGCTGCTTTGCTCGGAGTCTGAACTTGGGTGGGTGATCACCCACGTGACACGCTCCTGCCAATCATCTCCCTCCACTCCACCTACATTTCACAATATTTGACAAGTTTCGCCTAGTTGGCGCGGCGTAAATCGCCTTAATTAAAAACTTAAGTACCAACGCCTTAGGGCAATTTACCAACAAAGATGGTAAAGTAGCGGTTGGCTACTAATTGCCGCCCTAGTCATTGACTCGATTTCGATTTCGTTATTTCAGTTTGTTTGTTGTTGCTTTAAGAGTTTGTTTAGAAAACTGCTCTTGTTGACTGTAGTGAATTCGCGGGTTAGCTTTCTGTAGCTGTTTTGAATTAAGTTCTGTTGAACGTTTGAGTAGTTAAAAGATAACTACTGTGAGATATTGTAATACTGCACGAATATCTGAGGAAATTTAAGCATTTTTGTTGTGATAATAATAAATTTTGTTCATTTTCATCGGACTTGTGCATTCATTTCGTAACGAACCCGTACGCACGCAACAATATCAATAGTTAAGAATATTCACTAAGTTATGCCTTAGAAACGTTATGCGCTGCGCTACGTCGTTCCACTCAGGATGAGGTTTACACCCAGGCACCTGATTTTACGTGAATTACACCTAAGTCTTCAGTCGCAGTCATTAGAAAACTGTCAACATGAATTTAAGTCAACGTATTAATGTTGTGCTCTGACTAAGGCTCCTAGGAGCCTTAGCTCTGACAACACCGATTTTGGCTCTATAAAAGGATGTTGGCTCTGTGGGCTATTTTTTTCATTAAATTGGTTATATACTACAACTTACACATTTAGGAATTTCAAAGATTTGCACGGAGTTTAAAGACTTAACTTACGGGTGCATTAGAAAATATGATGAATTTACGAAACTGAAAGTTATTTTGAGCATGCAGGTGAAGAGTTTTTATGCACATGCTGTGCAGCGTTTTCAAAGTCTTCGAAGAAAACGTATTTTCAGATATGGTTTGCCTTTCTTGGTGTGTATTATATTTTTTAACATGAAGTATAATTATACTGGTTAAATATTAATATATTTTTTGTCTTGCATTGATATAAAGTTATATTAAAAGTTTTAAGTTTTTAAAATATTATGAAGTAAGGAACTAAATTATTTTATCAATAGCCCCGAGGCTTATTTCCCATGGGGTTGGCCATAAAGATTTTCTTGCAGCAACGATCTTCATTCATTCTAGCCAGATAGCCAGTCCATTTAAGTCTCTAATTTGACGAATTTTACAATATGGGGTTGTTTGTAAATTTCATAGAGTTCTAAATTAGATCTTCTTCTCAATGATCCATTCACTTGGACCCCACCAGGAATGCAACGCAAGATCTTTCACTCGAAAATTCCCAGAGTTTCCTCATAATGTAAAGTTAGTGACCTAGTCTCTAATGCATAAGTCAAGATAGATAGATACATAGATCTTATAAGACTTTTGGGTTGATCTTTACATTATGGTAACTTGGCGTTTTTTTGGCGAAAATTTGGCGACCAACTCTCCTACAGCAACCCTCTATTTTTTTTTCCCGCCGCCATTTTGTCTTCACGAAGTAAAGACATGTTTCTTTTCCTTTTATCTACTGAACACTTCTTCCAACAATCTACTAGCCGAATTACACTTATGCTAGAAATTTTATCTAACAAAACTGCTTAATCATGACACTGAAAAATTGGGAAAAAGTGCACAATACCATACTCCTTACGCGTTTTTCAAAATACACATACACATACATAAACCATGTACACGCCGACTTATTTTTACTTAAAAAAACATCCCAGAATTGCACAAAAATGGCATTGCGCACACTCTCACTCACTATATCCATGTACACTGCTTTTTTCTCATAAATTAGAAAAATTTCACGAAAATACATGACAATTTTCTCAATCTTTTAAACCCGGTAAAAAGAACATATATGAAATTACCTGATCGCCAAAAAGTTTTTACCCTTTCCAAATATGAACATTTCCACATATAAAATAAATAAAATTCCAAAAACTTTTACCTCTAAATCATCTATTATATTATAAACGTCAACCAACGAATTCATACCGCAACCATTACAAATACTTAGTGTCAGATATTTAAATTATTTCCATGCACGTTTACACTTCAACTGAAACGTATACCAAATTCCTACAAACAAAATTCACAAAATAACTATCATTTAATTAAAATATAATAAATTCAAAAACACTACTTAAAATATAAATGAGCACATACATTAAATTAATAAAAATTACCTTAAATCCTAATTACTTTAAACTAAATCATAGCTAATAACAATTTTCCCAATAATACCAAATTCCTTTACTTTCCACCTTACATTTAGAACAATGCATAAAAATAATATCCTCAAATAATTAAAATACTAACTTACCTAATCTTCTTCAGAATCTTGATTACGTGTCCGATAAAACTTTTCTTTAGTTACGGCCATGGGATCCAAAAATTCACGAACACTGTTTCACACACAACACAGAATAAACCAGATACAAAATTTCCAGATTTTTTTTCCCGATTTTCCCCCTTTCCCCTTTTTTTCCGATTAAAGAAAACCGTAATTCGTCCATTAATATCACATGACATATCCCATGATCTCTCATTTCCCTCACACAAAATAATGCGTAATCGGAACTGAGTACTGCTCACATTATTACCAAAGTCCCAGGTAGTAACCTTTATCGCCTCCAAAATGTCGCCAAACTACCAGTTACCATATTGTAAAGATCAACTGACTTTTGTAAAGAAGCAATTTAGCTCTTAATTTAAGAAAGCTGGATTTTAAATCACTCTGCAGAGCATAAAAACATCTATTTGCAGCAATGATTCTTTTATGTATTTCTGGTGCCAGCACATTTTTATTATTTATGTCTGTTCCCAAATAAGTAAAACTATTTTTCGGGAATTTTCAGTTCATGCATAGCTTTTAAATGAATTTCTCCGTTAATGCAATTACATGCTGTTCAAAAATTAATAAACAGATTGTGAGTCTCAATTCCAGATTCTTTACATTTTTCAAATTGTTAAAAATTTGCTCAATTGTAGATTTACCTTTCCTAAATCCACATTGATAGTCATCTATCAAGTTATCAATAAATGGCAAAAGTCTGTCAATAAGAACAGTAGACAGAATTTTATAGAATGTGTGAAGAAGATCGATTTCTCTCTAATTACTACAGGCTAGCACATCACCTTTACTAAGTTTCCATTTTGTTGGGAGTGTTTCACTCTCTAATTTATAAGCTGTACACGGTTAGGTCCCACAACTTTTAAAAATTCTGATGGTATATTGTCAGTTTTTTATATTATTCACTTCTCTCAATCATGGAGGATCAATAGGTTCTAAATTTCTTATTGCTGATCCACTAACTTCTGAAGGTAGCTTTGAATTCAGCAGCTCGTTCAGGTGCTCCCTCCATCTTTGAAGAATGTCACCTTTTGCACTTAAAATATTGCCATCTTTCCCTCTGCACAGTGTAATTCTTGACTTGAAACCTTGAAACTTCTTCTCCACGATGAATCTCATGAAAGAAAACTCTGCTTTCCCCTACTCCCCTAAGATGTTCAATATCCTCTAAGATATTTTTACGAAAGTTCATCGTCTTGATAAGGTGGATATTTTTTTCTGGCACATTTGTATTTTTCAACGGCTATTCTAATATGTTTTCTTTGTATCTTATGTGCCTTATTTTTAAGTTTGGTAGGAGAGCTACACTCCAGGTCAAACTAATCATTACATTTTTTCTTTTTAACTTTTCCTGTGACTGAGCTGACAGTTTCCATAATAGCCAATTTTAGTGAATTTCATTTCTCATCAATGCTTTCCTAATCGTCCGATTTAACGTTTTCAATTTTGTGCTATCTTTTTTACATTATTTAATTATGAAGGTTTTTAAACAAAACAAAACAAAAAAAAAATCAACACTTATTGATTATTGACTTATTGATATTTTGGCCCTCCGAATCTTGTGAACCCCTTTTTCTTTAAAGTAAAAAATGGAGAAAATATAAATATGAATAAATAAATTGTTTACAAAACTCTCCAAAATTACAATTTTCCCTAAATTGTTGGTTGTGAAAATTGTCAGAGATGAGAAAATTGAGCTGGTCATTCCCGTGGAATTTTAAATAAACAGATTTTTTTTAGTTAGATATCACAGATCAATACATAATTACGTACATGCACGCATATATGCATACATTTCTGAATCTGGTTCCCTTAACAGAAGAGTACCAAATTTGGATACAACTTGCCTTATATTAAAGTTTCGTCTAATCTTTGGAATATGGTAACAGGTATTTTGGCAACATTTTGGTAAGGCGATAAAGGTTACTAGCTAGAACTTTAGCAGTGTACATGGATAAAGTCAAGAGTGTGCGCAATGCCATTTTTGTGCAATTCTGGGATGTTTTTTTAAGTGAAAATAGGTCGACATGTACATGGATGATGCCATGTATGTGCAATTCTTAAAAACACGGCAAGCAGTGAGTGATTCTACACTTTCTTCCAATTTCGCACCTAATCTTCTTCATGATTAAGCACTTTGTTCCATAAAAGTTCTAGCATAAGCGTAATTCGGCTAGCAGATTGGGTAAAATCCTAGTATACGGTGCTGCCTTGGTGCAATTTTGAAAATTATCGCCAACACCAAAAATGATCCAAAGAACGTCTATATACTATACACTATATACTATGTGTGTATATACATAATATGTACTATGTATAACTATATATATTCTTTGAATGACCCATTTACTACTCATCGTATATGTCCCAATTTTACTGCTCATCATAAAGTCGCCAAAAGTAGCCAAATCCCTTGCACCGGATACTAGGATTAAACCGCAGATTGTTGGAAAAAAAATGTTGAGTTAAAAAAAAAAAGCATGCCTTTACTTCGTGAAAACAAAATGGCGTCAAAAAAAAAAAAAAAAAAAAAAACTAGCAGGTTGCTGTAGCAGGGTTGTTCGCCAAAAAATCGCCAAGTTACCATAATCCGAAGATTAACCAAAGTTTCTTCTGGCATAAACATTTAACTCCATACCTGTAAATGTGCACATACATAAGGGAAATAATTTCTTATATAACAATTAAACAGAAAAAATGCAGATAGTAGCTATCACAATAATCTAATCCAGTTTCCATTACTCATATCCAGTTTACATTTACTCATATGTAAATTATATTATTTAGCAAAAGTGTGGTGATTAGTAAAATTTAATAAAGTAAATTAATATATCTGTATATATTGTATCTGAATATATTTTTAAAAGTAACCAATTCCAAACATAAATAGTACCAGTCTTCAAAACTGTTTCGTAAGAAATTTAAAACTTTTTACAAACTCAGTATATCGGTATTTCTCTAACAATTGTGCCAAACAAAGAGTTGTAAAAAATGATTGGCTACATTTGTTGATGGATTTGGGGCATAAATAGAAATTAGTTATTTAAAATCATTAACTTTTAAAAGCTTTTGAAATAGTTATGTTTCATATACAGTTAATTGTTATGCTTGTCTTGTACAGCTTTTCAACATCTGTAATTATAATGTTAAATCATGAACCTAAATATATAAGTTTTTGTGTGATAATCATTGTTAGGCTTATAATTATATATTTTATTAGCTGATTGTTCTATATTTTTAGTTATTTCTTTTTGTTGGATCATTTGGCATCGAACAGTTTGCATCCCTGCGATATGAATTTAGGAAAAATGAAACGGTAAGCTATTAAAAGATTGACTTTGAATATAATTTCATGAATACTTAAATTTGGTGTATTGAATGTATTCTTGTATATGTTTAAAAAATGTCAATTTGCTGGATTTTATACATTTATGAAAATTATTCTATGAAGTTGTACATGAGGTATTTAGAAATGCATATGCAGGCATAATAAAAAAATCGGAGATACTCAGATAACCGGCACTTGGCAAGGTTCCTGATATCGCATTCGCCAACTTGGGCAATAGGTGCGAAACGGTGGGAAGAGTGTTTAGGTTGCTAGCCTAGATGTTAACTAAGATAGAGAAAAGGACAGGGATACTTTCTTTCTACATATATGTTGATACTTTGCGTTGGGTGTCGTGACTTTGCAGATAAATCTTTTTGCTGATGACCACATGCCTTTGTCAGTACACGTTTTAAATTCGCTGTTTAATAATTTTCTAAATAAATTAATTATGCTTGTAATTAGAATAGGATACTTTTATTTTTATACAAGAAAATTACATAATATGCTCCTTTTCCGGATTGAATAATAGAAGGAAAAGAGTTATAGAATCAATATAAAGAATTAATTTCTAAATAAATTAATTTCTAATTATTAATATAGAATTAATTTCTAAATAAACTAATTAAAAATTCTTAGTTATGGAAAATAAATTAATTACACTTCTAATCAGAATAAAATGCTTTATTTTTATAGAATAAAATATACTGTTTTTCTAACTTTAACTAATTTCCTAACTAATAACTGTTCTCGTATTTCCAGATAATATCTAATTAGAATGAAAATTTTAAAATTATCTACTTAATATTTAAATATACTCCCAAATATTTGAGTCTGTAGTGGCCCAGTTAGTGCATGAGAAATAATTATTTTTTATTTCATATATTTGTTCATATATTTAATTATTTTTATAAAATTAACTTTAATATTTTGTTAATATTCATATTTAATTTAAATTTCTTTATGCTGAATGGCAACTAGTTCTAGTTCTAGCTCTGATTCATGATTGCTAGGTTTTGGTTTCAAAACGTTGCTCGTAGCGTCGCATTTCGATAGCTGGAAAATAAAATGCAATAACTTAGCTATTTGTTTATAATTCATGCTGTTACTAGTCATAAATTAATTTTAAACATTAGTAGCCAAGGCTACATCGTGGTGACCCTGATTAATTTTCGAAATGTCAACAAATGACTCTTCTGAAACTGCTATGAAAGATACGATGCAGTCACCGGAGCTTCATAAGGTGAGTGTAAAAATACCTCCTTTTTGGATTGATAAACCGGAAATATGGTTTTTTCAAGTTGAAGCTCAGTTCAAAATTAGTAATATCGTTTCAGAAGAAACGAAATTTAATTATTTAGTTTCACAGCTTGAACCTAAGTTCGTCGAAAATATTTGGGACATTGTAACGAACGATAGTGCCACAAAATATTCGGATGCTAAAATTAGGTTATTACATTTATTCAAAGAAAGTGAAAATGTACGGATTAAACGTTTGATTACTGATTACTGGTATCGAACTTGGAGACATGAAACCAAGCCTTTTGCAGAAGTTGAGATCAGTTGCTACTACAGATGTGTCTGAAAATCTAATCAAAACTTTATGGCTGGAGAAGCTACCTGACTCCATAAAAAATATATTATTAGTTAGTGATGAAGATGTAACCAAGTTAGCGTCTATGGCAGATAAAATTAGTGATATGAATCGGAAACCAGAAGTATTTAGTACTAATGCTCCTTCCGTTCCCGCAAATGATTTGTTGCAAAAGAATTACCTTTCTTGAACAAAAAATTGATCAAATAACCATTCGCTCAAGACGCAGGGACTCGGATTTACGTAATTCACGTTCACGATCTCGAAGCCGATCTCGTAAACGATATGACCCTACTGGCAAATTTTGTTTTTTATCACTTTCGTTTTGGAGCAAAATTGCATTCCAGAGAAATGCAAGCCTCCGTGTGCTTGGGTAAAAAACGATTTCAAAAACCAGGAAAACTCGAATCTGCAGTAGGTTCAGCGGCAAACGCTGCTGCAGAAAATATGAAGGATTGTCGCAAATTTCGTTTATTCGTTCGTGACCGAAGATCAAATTTGCACTTTCTTATTGATAGCGGAGCTGACGTAAGCATAATTCCTGCTACTTCACAGAATAAATGTAAAACTGAATATAAACTGTATGCAGCTAATGGCACAGATATTTCCACTTATGGCATAAAAACGCTAACTCTTGATTTGGGATTACGTCGTGATTTTCAGTTTCCATTCATAATTGCTGATGTCACAAAAGGTATTTTAGGAGCTGACTTTCTTCACAAATATAAATTGCTTGTCGATATAAATAAGAAAAAATTAATTGATGGCGTAACACAGCTTTGTGTCCAGTGTGATGTCGCTGCTATTTCCAGTGATTACTCAGTAACCACATTAAATAAATCCATAAAAATTTTCGATTTACTGTCGAAATATCCCGAAATTTCTAAACCTAACCTTTTTCCTACACAAATTAAACATGGTGTTACACATTTTATTTACGACTGATGGTCAACCCGTTTATTCAAAGGCACGACAGCTCGATCCAAAACGCTTAGCTATAGCTAAAGAGGAATTTAAATTTATGCTTGACAATGGAATAATTCGTCCATCAAACTCCCAGTGGTCAAGCCCCTTGCACCTTGTTACGAAAAAGGATGGTTCATATCGTCCTTGCGGAGACTACCGACGATTGAATGCGCAGACGATACCTGATCGATACCCAATTCCTCGCATTGAAGATTTTCATCATATTTTAAGAGGTACAAATATTTTTTCTAAAATTGATTTATTCAAAGCTTATTTTCAAATTCCCATTGCAGAAGAAGACAAATGTAAAACGGCTATCATCACTCCTTTCGGTTTATACGAATTTAATGTAATGAGTTTCGGTTTAAAAAATGCTCCTGCAACGTTCCAAAGATTTATTTATTCACGAAGTCTTTAGAGGATTAGAATTCGTTTTTCCCTATTTAGACGATATACTCATTGCATCCAGTACCCATGAAGAACACGAAAATCACCTTAAATTAGTTTTCGAAAGATTACATACATTTGGGTTAAGAATTAATGTTTCAAAATCTGTCTTTGCTGTTCCCCAAATCGAGTTTCTAGGCTACCTAATTACACCTAAGGGTTCCCGTCCTTTGCCAGAAAGAGTTCAAGCTATTACTAACTACAAACGACCAGAAACAATTCATGAACTTAGAACCTTTCTTGGAATACTTAACTTTTATCGTCGTTATATAAAGGATGCAGCGAAGAATCAAGCATTGTTACATGCGTATCTCAAGGGAGCTAAAAAGAGGGACAAACGTAAAATCGAATGGACTGAAGAAGCTGAAAAACAGTTTGAAACGTGCAAGAATGACCTGGTGAACACGGCACTGTTGTCTTTTCCCAATTCTGAATTACCTCTGGCGTTATTTACAGATGCTTCAGATACGGCGATTGGCTCAGTGTTGCAACAATATGAAAACTCCTCGTGGAAGCCAATAGCATTTTTTTCTAAAAAATTAAGTGATACTCAGCAAAAATATAGCACCTATGATAGAGAACTATTAAGCATATATCTTTCAGTTAGACACTTTAAGCATTATCTAGAAGGAAGAGTATTTACAATTTATACAGATCACAAGCCCTTAATATTCGCCTTTCGTCAAAAACTTGACAAAGCAACACCTAGACATGCTCGCCAACTTCAATACATCTCCCAGGTTTCGACTGATATCAAATATTTAAAAGGTGAGAATAATATTGTGGCGGATACGTTATCTAGAGTTAATGAAATTTCATTTCATCGATAGATTATGATAAAATAGCTGATGAACAAACTCAAGATGAAGAACTGAAGAGTTTGCAAACCACTACTTCCTTGAATTTCAAGCAATGTTCTCTACCATCGGGGAAATATTTGTGGTGTGATACATCAACTAAACATGTTCGGCCGTATATTCCTCAGGCTTTCAGAAAACACGTCTTTCAAAGAATTCATGGTTTATCACATCCAGGAATAAAATAAAATCGACTATGAAATTAATGACATCAAAATTCATTTGGCCTAACATAAAAAAAGATGTACAGTTGTGGACAAGAACCTGCATTCATTGCCAAAAAGCTAAAATCAATCGGCACACCAAACAAAAATTAGGTGAGTTTGAAGTATCACCAGGAAGATTTTCTGTCATCCATATCGATCTCATAGGACCACTTCCACCATCTAAAGGGAATATTTATTGTCTTACTTGCATAGATAGATTTTCGAATTGGATGGAAGCAATTCCTTTAGAAAATATTTCTGCTGAGAACGTCGCAAGAAGCCTTTTATAGCAACTGGATTGCGCGTTTCGGAACGCCAAGTAAACTCATTAGTGATCGTGGATCCCAATTTAAAAGTGATACATTACGAGCTTTGTCCAAAATCTGTGGCATCAATTTACAACACACTACTGCCTACCACCCCTCGTGTAATGGCAATGTTGAGCGCCTTCATCGAACATTGAAAACAGCATTAAAAGCCCACAACAACATATCTTGGACGGACACGTTACCAACAGTACTTTTGGGTTTGTAAACTATTCAACAGCACTATTCAAGAAGATACCAATCATTCTATTGCGCAAGTAGTTTATGGCCAGAGTCTCAGACTTCCTGGCGAGTTTTTCAGCGAACCAAGTATCCAGACAGCATCGGAGACTTTTGCTAATAAACTCCAGAAACAGATGGAAGTTGTTGGACCGAGACTAATTCGTAAAAATTCATCTGAACAGATATTTGTCCATAAAGACTTAAAAACTTGTTCTCATGTGTTTCAGCGAATAGATCGGATAAAAAAAACCTTTGGAACCTCCTTATGAAGGACCATTTCCTGTTATTGATCGCAAGGACAAATATTTTACTATTAGCACAAAAGGAAAACATGTTAATGTATCCCTGGATCGCCTGAAACCAGCATATATTT